CCTCTGGCTGGCCTGTGGGGTTTTGTGGCTGGGTGCCAGGCTGCTGTCCCCAGTTCTGATGCGGCCGCCCCGTTTTCCAGGGTTCGGGCGGGCACAGTGACGGGCGTGGCCATCAACATCGCCTCCCTCATCTCGGTCATGCTGCAGCCGTACATGCCCAGCGTCAGCGCCACCATCCAGCGCCAGCTCTGCATGCCGCAGGCCTACAGCGTGCTCCCGGACGCCTTCCTCTGCCTCCTGCCCCCAGGGCACCAGATCGGCACAGTATGCACACCGGGGGAGGGCTTGGCTCTGGGGGACTGGGGGGGGGATGGGACAGGCCATTAATGTCTCCCCCTTGTCTGCCAGGTGAGCCCCCTGTTCCAGAAGCTGGAAAACGAGCAGATCGAAGCCCTGCGGAAGCGCTTTGGTGGAGGGCAGGTGAGGCAGGGGGATCATGGCAGGGGCCGGCTTCTACAGCGTGTCATTTCCCCCGGGGGAGGCCCTGCCCCTCCTGGAGGGGTGCTGCGGAGCTCCCCTGCTGCCTGCCTGGGCGAGCAGAGGTGGAACAAGGGTGCAGTGAGCGCCATGCCCGGAGGGAGGGGCCCTGGCCAGCAGGGAGTCGCTGGGCCCCCCTCGCGTGCCTTGCCCAGCCGCATGCTTTGCTCTCTTGCTCTGTCCTCACCTGCTCTCCTCTCTCCTTTCCCAGCCTGAAGAGGCCCCTGTACAGCGGAAGGTAATGGTGGCCCAGCTTGGGGGCATGCGGGGGGCTTGGTGGGGGTTATGAGCGGTGGCCCTGCGCCTGCCTTTCCTCCCCTCCACCAGGGCAAGGGCCAGGCCCTTGGAGCAGGTGCTGGGGGCCCAGCTGCTGCCAGGGCACTGCCCTTATTTCTCCTCCCCCTGGGCACTATGCCAGGCCAAGCTCTCCCTCCTCCCCTCCCTGGGCCAGAGCCTGTTATGCTGCACTGGGACTCAGGCTTCCCTTCCCCCTCCACAGGCCCATGCCGCCCGGGTGGCTGCAGCCAACCAGACACCCCCTGGAGCGGGGGAAGGCGCTGGGCTGGCAGGGGACCCCCAGAAGGCCAAGGAGCTGGCTGAGGAGGTGGCCAAACAGGTGAGTGGCACCTGCTGGTTCTGGGTATCTTCCCCCTTCCTCCTGGCTGCAGGGAGGGGAACCCCCCCAAGCTTGGGATGAGCCAGGCAGCCTGGTTCAGGCTCTGGGTGGTGCAGCCCTAGGCTGTCCATGGCAGGTGGGGAGCTGCTCTGGCCCCCACAGCTCCCCCCTTACCCTTCCCCCCTTTGCACACCGCTAACAGCTGCCCCCTCTGCCCAGGGGGCCCACGTGCGCCAGCTGAAGGCCAGCAAGCAGGAGAAGGGGCAGATCGACGCTGCAGTGGCCAGGCTGCTGGAGCTGAAGCAGCAGCTGGCGCTGGCGGAGGGGAAGACCCCGGAGCCCCTTGCGGCCAAGGGGAAGAAGAAGAAATAGCTGGAGCGCCTCATTGCAGCGGCCGGCAGTGCTGGGCCTCTCCCTGGCCCAGA